GAGCTTTATGAAAGGACACTAATCTGCTTGATAGCAGAAGCCGTTTTTAAATTTACACAGATAAATGTACAAATAAAGGACCCAAACCCCTGGTTCATCTTTCTCTCCTAAATATTTATTATCCTCTGCCTAGAAACAGAATTTCCATCTTCCATTTCCCTGAATATCTGAATTGAAATCTCCAGCAGTTTTCTAATTCTACATACATTGTGCACATCACAGCAACACCGGTTCCTGATCTAATCTGTTTTCCAGATAGCTTGCTTTCAAACAATTAGCTACATCAGGATTTCTCCATAGCAAATCAATTGCTGATAGCTTTGGCTCAGCCAGATACAAGCTTTAGCATGATGAAATGCCTCTCAAAAGAAATCACAAAAAATGGCAAGTGGCTGTTACAGTAAGCCTCTCAAAAATAAATTACAGTTGCCATACCATGTAGCCCTTTGATTCTGATTTTGTTTATCCTTTATCCTTTCAGTATATTCCCCAAAGACAGAACGAGACAGACATGCTCCAATTACTCTTCTTTGGTGAGCTATAATTCCTTGCAAAACTCCTTTGAAGTTGGTACTAATCAATGTGAGGAAGACTGGCAAAGTCTAGCCCAGTCCCAATGTAAACAAACTTAAAAAAAAAAAAAAAAAAGGCAAATACAACACAAAAAGAAAGACCAAATAGAACAGTATGCTCATTACAATAACACAACACTTCATGGAACTGGCATTGCACGGCCAGTCTTGCCAGGTTCATAAACTTTGACAACGACACATCTGGGCAGGGAAGGAAGCGGTACGTACAAGGCAAGGGCCAAGCCTAGAGAAAGGCTGTGCTTTCTGAATTCATAGTACGTAAAGTCTTCTATATTTTTCACGAGCTTGACCAAATACTGTATTTCCTCTTTTAAGAAAAATCTTTAGGAAGCAAATTTTAATCAGATTGCTGGACCCATGTACCACTGAAAGTATGAATAGGGGACATATTTCATTTAATAAAGGTGCCTCTAAAGAGAAGTCACCCACTCCTAAGACAAAGTAGGAGCCCTGGTGATGATGGCAGGCTTGTTTGCCACATGTGATGCCAAGTGCTAAGTTTTGAATACAATGAGGACAATGCCCCCCATTTAAAGTTTTCAAGCAATTATCGGCAAACACATTATCACTTGAAGGCCATAAACATTTATCCAGTGCTGCTAGGCATCCTGGTGGCAAATCTAATCTTTTTGTTCTGATCAGTCCAAGAAAATGGATGACTTTTTTTTTCCCCCTAGTGATTTTACTGTAAAGATTTTATGAGCCTGTGAAAGGAATTGCAGGAGGCCTGGACATTTTTCTCAGCAGCCGTCTGAGTTCGCTTCTGTGCTGACTGCAGAGGAGCTGAGTTATCAGCACGACGGAGAGTGTTTTATAGGGGTCAGCCCCTGCCTCCGAAGAGTCAGCTGTATGCGCTGAAAGCGTCCCTGAACACGCATGAGAAACCGCTGTGTACGGACCAGAGAGGGAAAGCCAAGGCTAAGCGTGCACTGAAGGCGTTCACATCAACGCCACGCTGTTTGCTTTTTCCGAACAAGACATCACTGCCCTGCACTCACACAGAGAGGAGACGCAGCTCAAGGACTGACAACAGATACTTTTTTTTTTTTTAAAACATTTTCTCTCTTTTTATTTGTTTTTCCTGGTGGTTGCTACAAGCAAAGGAGGTATTCAGGAATGTAACTGCATGATACAAACACAGGCAGCAAACTAAGTTGACCGCATGAAAGGTGTATCTGAGAACACGGAGTTGACAGAATCGGAGTCGGATTTTGTTCGAGTCGTTTTTAAGATACTCTCAGCAATGACATTGTCATTAGGAAAGAGTTTTACTTTCCCGTTCTGACTGTGTTTTGGTTCGTGCACGGGTTCCAGGAAAACCACCCGTTTACCAGTGCTAGCCTTCTTCTCGTCGGTGGGCAGCTGCTGCGGCGGTGTGGAATTCAGTATGGACGAGTGGGCACTGCTTTGGTTCAGCTTCCTCTTCCTCCTTTTTGCTTTGCATTGACAGGGACAGGGGGTCAGATAGAGATACAGCAGTACTAAAACAATACTGGCTACACAGGCAGCAAGGGTGGTAAAAGCTGTATTAAATGCTTCATGAGCGTGGGACCTGTTCACGGTGAAATTGCTAACATTTATCCTAACCTCTATGGTTTCATTTAACAGTCTTTTCTTATTTATTGCGATGCAGGAATACAGCCCTGAGTCCTCTAGCTGGGCATCTGTTATCTCCAGGCTGCCGTTACGGAACACCTTGAAGTTGTCGGTCTCCCTGTCTGGCTCCAGCAATCTGTTGTCCGGACTAACCCAAACAAAGTGCGTGCCCGCATCGCTGATTCTGCTGTCACAGTGTACAATCAGCCTGTCACCAACCTGGGCATCGTGAATAAACCCAAAGGCTTGGAAAGAGCTGTTGACGGTGCTTTCAGAGCAATTCAGAAAGCTGTCGTGCAGTAAAGGCAGTTTATGGTAACCTCTTGGGTCTGATCGCAACAAACAGGTATACTCGTTTTTGAAGTCCACCACCGAGCTGAAGTGCCTTTGATACCAGAAGATCAGCATGGAGTACAGCATACAGTCACAATAAAACGGGTTGCCATGAAGATAAATTCCACTAAGATATTTGGCCGGCACTGAACTCAGGCGCTGAATAGGCATCGACTGGATGTGATTAAAGGAAATGTCCAGCAACGCAAGGTCAGTCAGTTTATGTTTTCCAGTGTATAAGTCCAGCGGGAAATGCGAGAGCAAGTTATAGCTTAAGTACAGTTTCTGTAATTTGTACAGCCCTCCGAAGGCTGAAGGCTCTATCTGCATGAGCTGGTTGTTGTAGAGCAGCAGAACCTCCAGCACCCTGAGCTCCTGGAACACAGGGCTGCCCAGCGTCTTCAGGCTGTTGGACGACAAGTCTAGGTACTTCAGGTTCGGGGTTGTGGAAAAGCTTCCAGTGATAATGCTGCTAATGCTATTGTGATGGATTATTAAAGTGTTCAGTTTCTCAAACAGCGCTGGGACCCATTCAGGTTCCAAAAACCCAATTCTGTTATAACTCAGATCTAGCCTTTTCATACATTTATAAAGATTTCCTGGCACTCGAGAGAGGTTCTTATTGGTGCAGCTTACGATATCGCTGGCACAGATGCAGGCGGTTGGACACATCCCCGGGGCACTGCCACAAACGCTCACTGTGAAGACCAAGAGGCATGCCAGTCCTTTGCAGGTCACTTTAAATACTCCAAGTCGAGTAGGAATTGTCCGCCAGTTTAAAGACATTGTCACTGTCTCTTAGCTGTCTCCCAGTGCTCCTTGCCACAGATTGTATGTGCGGTTAACTTTGCACTAATCGCTGTCAAAAGAGGGATACAGAGGTACAGCACATTAACATTTACAATTCGTACCCTGCCTGATTTCTTACGCACGTCTTTTGAGAAATACAGGGAATTAATCCTTAGTGTTTCATATGGCTAGCTATAAAATCTAGTTGTTCTTAGGTGATGTAGGCTTAACATTGGTTTTATGTAAACATGAAAGTCTGCACTCGTGTAAATATTCACACTACAGATAGGATATTTTTTCCTCTTCAAAAACAATGCAACTATTCTTCAGACTTGGACCAAGTAATGCAGTTTCTGAGAGTTCATAAAAAACCCCAATAACCAGACGTGTTCTTCTGTGGAACATAAGTGGGCAATGGCATCCCCTACCTGTTTCCAAACCAAGCCAGATGACAGAAAATTCCTGGCACAGGAAAGAAAAAGCCCCATCCAAAAATGCTATTTTCTTGCCTAGTGGGGAACAGTTTCAACACGTGTTTCTTCCCAATCAGAAAACGTCACATATTTTCAAGCAAAGAATTTTCTCAGACTACTTAGCTTAAAAAAAAAAAGTCGTATGACATTTATTTTTTTAAGTCAGTATTCAGGTAGCAACAGCCTATTTTTAAAGTTATTCAAGATGTCCAATTGGAATATTTTGTATTCTGCTACTTCTACCTTTACCAAAATAACTGTCAATGAGGAAGTCCTCCACGCTTGGTGCCTACCTCAGGTGCAAGTTTTGGGAACTTTCAGTAAGAATGAGTCAGCCATTTCTCAAAACTTAGTAAAGAAAAAAAAATATTTTTCTCATACTTAAATAGCAAGAACAAACCCAACTATACTCTTTTCTGAAAATATTTTAGCATCACTATAGTTTGAAGCAAGGATGTAACATTTGGCAGGGTAGGGATTCTGTGCCAAGGGATATGCTTTTTGTCAGCTCCTAAGAAAAATCACAAAATCAGTTTGGTTGGAAGAGACCTCTGGGATCATCAAGTCCAACCTTTGCCCTAACACCACCATGTCAACCAGACCACGGCACTAAGTGCCATGTCCAGTCTTTTCTTGAAGACCTCCAGGGATGGGGACTCCACCACCTCCCCGGGCAGATGTACACCTGCTTAGAACAATGAACATTTCTGTTCACTCTTGCTCTCCCTGGATACCCGTTAAGAGTTTCTCAGTAAATTCCCAGGTGAATCCATCTGCACTGATACTCCCCACCCCTTCAGCTCCCACATATTAACCTCTTTAACACTCATTTCTCCATTCTCACCCACCTGTTGGTGCAGCATCCGAGCAGGACAAGCCCCACAATGTCTGCTCTGCGCTGCCGATAGCGGCTACGGCCAGGAGCTGGGAGACTGCCTGTGGGCAGTGGGAGGAGGAGAAAAAAGCAACCTCAGATAGAAAGAAGCAGAATAAAAGGAGAAGTTGTATTCTCTGATGAGACAAGACGGATGAAGACAGGATGAGTCTTGAATACAAAAACATTAAAATCAAGACCTAAAGGGTAGAGGACAGCAGGGCAGAGAAGCAGTCAAAGAAGGGGAGAGAGGGAAAAGGAGGATAAAAGATGCATAGGGAAGGAAGGGTAAAACCAGGGGAGGAGGATGCTAATGGAGCATCAGCATTGTTACTAATGAAGCAACCGAGGAGGAGGTAGTTCGAGGATGCAGAAGTCAGTCAAGGCATACGAGACTGGAAAAGGAGATGGGGCAAGAAGAGGGTTAAGCAGATGAGAGGCAAGAGTTTCAGGAGGTGAACCTTAGAACACCCTTCTCTGGAGAATTTGCATCTGGTACTTATGCATCTAAGATTAACTATGCAATTAATTAATATATGTGAAATGCACTAATTTCCACTTCCCCTCAGTTCCTTATTCCCCTCCTCCCTAACCTTGTGCCAATCTGGCAGGCTGCTGTCTTCTGCTGACAAATCTACTCTTAAGTCAAGTGCTAGAGGATGTGCTATGAACCTGAAGAGCTGAACCTTCTAATGACCCATTAAAAGAAGAAATATGAAGGCAGCAGGATGGAAGAATTCACCTTTCACAAGAATTTATATATACACTGGCTTTAAATGTTTGCATTCCCCAAAACTGTACTAAGAGAATGGCAAGACTGCCAAGTCAAGTGCTCAAAAATTAGTCTCAGAATTAAGGTTTTCTGTGCCGTTTTAGATTTTATATACAGTTCTTAGTTACACGATCACTCAATTTTTTTTTCCCCAAAACCTTCCCTCACACTGTCCACATGTCCTGAGGAAGAACGAGGAAAAGAAAGGGTGAGTACATCAAGAGCTCAGTAAATGCCTATACCTGAGAACTGGAGCATATCCTAGCCTCTGCCACAGAATTCCTGTGAGACTGGGCAAATTATGTGCATGGGTGACTATTAGAAAATAATGAACATATTACAGTCACCAGCTTGACACTTAGGAAATAAGGAACCCCTATGTATTAAGTTTGGGAAGGAGTGATCTGAAGAAGTGCTGAGATAGGAGTCAAAATCCTATGACTCCAGCTGGCCCTTCGGACTGTCAGGGCTTCTCCTTGGTTCCTTATCTACAAAAGGGATACAGCAACATGATCTTAACTATAGAAATATTGTAAAAATAATTGGAGTTATTCGAATGAAAGCTTGGTATCAAGATTCATGAAGTCTTCCAGGCTTTTAGATCCTACTGAAGTATTTAACTGCATGGGGTTTTCAGTGGGAAGTTAGGAAACTCAAAGGAATTTTTTTTTGTTTTAACCCATCCAAAGCACCTAACTTACTTGTTTTTGCTGACCAGCTAGTCTATGGCAACAATGAACAGCTACAAGTTCTTCTAGAGGGTATGACCTATGAAGCATTATAGAAATGACCATCAGGAAATAATTCTGTACCTCAGTGTGGGTTTGTATGGCATACAGTACATAAGGCACAATGGAAATGCACTGACAGATGAAAAAAGAATTTAGTAACTGCTCCTTTAGTTAGTACATTGCATGAAGCAAGGCAGCTGAAAACCGCATACCATAAAACCATGTGTGTGAAGACTGAACTATGAAGCATCCACAAAATGGGAGACAAACTGCTGTAGCATAGGTTGCCTTTCCCACTAATATTTCAATGCCTGATTCTGCAGCCTATGCAGCCTAATTTTTAATGTAACTGCACTTGCAAAAAGATGAATGGCACTTTCAAAAATCAGCTCCTATGTTGAATATAACTGTGATCCTGGAGACACTCCAAATGGGACATACTAGGTCAATGCTCAGTTTTGGATGGGTTACCAAGTTTCATACACTAAATAGCCTTGCACGTTTGTTTCTGCCCATACCTACAGCAACTCTGAGCTAGCCTGCAGCCAAATCCCACGGGCAGACCAGTGGCTGGTGTAGATCAGCATAATACCTTCGAGTTCCAAGGAGCAAAAACAGTTTGCAGGGGCTGAAAACTGGGTTGTCCATTTCCAAAACTCACTGACGTTGCCAAATCAAAACTGTTTCAGGTAACTTGCCTTGCCTGGCAAATCCAAGTTATAGACATCATGAGCATACCACAGGACACACAAGCCTATCTGGAGAGTACCCTGGCAAGCAGAAATCCTCCTTGCCATGCCCACCTCACGGCGCAGTGCCTACATTCCCAACAGGTTCTCTGCCCCTTTTGGAGAGTAGGACTGTTGAGTTGCAACTTGCTCCTCAACCTGTGATCCCCAAAACCTCTGCATAGATTACACAGGATGGTCTGCAAAGCCAAGCATGTTCAACATAAATATTTATAACCTATGTGGTCATTTGAACTTATTCAAAATGACTGCATAAACATTTCTGGGTTAGCGATGTGTACTGTTAAGTGGCAAGGAAGAACAAAGCCTACAATCAGCCTCATATTTAAAAGCGGCATTTTGTTTCATCCCAGTAACATTACTTCAGGTCTTAGAAAAATTCTATTTTACAAACTTCAATATTACACATTTTCTCAAGAGATATATTGCTATTAATACTACCAGCTAACACGTGCCAACAGACTCTGGCCAGGTACTTCACCATTATTTCTGAATGAGCTGGGTAAATAGCTTTTTTGATTTATAGTAAAGTGAAGGGCACAGTTGGGAGTTCTGTACTTGAAATCTTTTCAAAGAAATCATTTCTTTGTAGTGTTAAAGTGTGATATTTTAATTCCACTGCCAAAACCACAGTACTCCCAGAGCTGAATCATCCGTGCAGTAATGGTGCACATCCTTCTTAACTGTTTGAGAAGAAAGGCAGGACATATCCTCGTGTCCTCTGTTGTCAGGAACAGCTCCATTGACTACAACAGATCAGCTCCTAGAGGTTGAGGATTTGGCTCTTGGTTTTGATCTTTTTAATTTGCGTGCTTGTTGGGGTTTTTTGGTTTGTTTTTTTTTTATTGCTTGGTTTTAGATTTTATTTTTTTTCCCCCTCGTCTTTTCCAAAGTAATGAGCACCCAGAGCTACCTTTTTAATGTGCGTGCTTGTTGGGGTTTTTTGGTTTGGTTTTTTTGTTGCTTGGTTTTAGATTTTATTTTTTTTCCCCCTCGTCTTTTCCAAAGTAATGAGCACCCAGAGCTACTTATGGAAAAGGGGAATGCCAGGCAACCATAAATATCCTCACCATCAATTATCACTGCAAGATCAACTAATGTCCTAAACACTCATTTCCACTTTCTCTGGGCTTTCTCTCCCATTAACGCTACATTAATAATCTCTACACCAGCTTTCTCTTCTCCTGTAAGTACCTTCAGGCTTCTTGCTGTTTCTTCCATGGAAACCTGCACACCAAGCTATCTCTCCCAGTTCATTTGAGACTTTGTTAAAACAATCCATATGTGGCGTATCTCTTAAATTAAGCAGTGAATTGGACTGGAGATTGGAAGTCACCTGAACGCTTTCGTAAACACTACCACTAGTCTTTTCAATGTTAAACAAACTGGACTGATAAATGCTTTACAGTAGGAATAACATCTTCCTGTATATTGGCGATGCAAATAGTCCCACATCTGGCTGGC